AATCTCTGCTTAAGGAAATCCTTTATTTTATTTATCTACTTCTTGATAAACTGTAATTTTTTTCTAAATGAAATAACAGTAAAAGAATAAATACTTGAGGAAGAATGTCAATTTCTTTTCACCTTTTTAAAAATCTTTGATGCATTTTAAGAAATAGCATTAGTTTCTACAACTGCCTGATAATGGGAAACACTATATGTTTTAAATTGTCAGGTTACTTGGTTCACTGCTACCAAGAACTGAAGCATCACTTGCGAATGCATACAAAGGCACAAAGAAACAATAGCATCCCACAGGAATCCTAACCCCAATGCCTCTGCCACTAAGAGAACCAGACGCTGCCCAGCTAGAACAGCTGGTCACTTTTAAAGGGGTCACGATATTAGCTCTTGGACAGAATGGAAAAATATGTAACAAAATTCAAAGTAAAATTTTTAAAAAGTTAGTCTTATGATTGGATATGCTCTGTGGAACCTCTGACTCTTTGGCCCTTGAAAAGGTTTCCGTAAAAGAATAGGCCTATAAGATGAACAATAACACCAGGATTCTTAGAACAATCAACCTTCTGAAATCAGAAGGGAGGCATTGATTCTGGTATGCAGTTCAGTAGGCAGGAGGAAGGTATAGGAAAGAAAGGTGGAGGAAATAGTGAACAGAGGGCAATACTGTAAGATTACTACTACATTGTGGGAATGGCAATCAATGTCAAAAAGTAAAATTGGTATAAACTGTTGAAAGGAGAAGTTATTTGCATTGTAAACTTTCATTCAAATCACAATAAAATATTATCTAGGGACAAAATAAAAAGAAAACAGGATAAAAGACACAATTTTCATTGCTGTTGTGAAGCAGATTTGAGTCACTTCAATTCATAAAGAACCTTCTGTCTGGAGATCTGCAATAGGGTTTTAAAAGCTGTAATCTTTTGTGTGTTGATTACTCAGCTTGTCTTGTGAGCTGCTTAGGAGTCCATTTGAGCTCCCTATCTTTTAGTTAGTAGGCTAGCTTTTACCTACTTGCATCATACAAGGACTTCAAATTACTGGATATATTCCTAATGTTATATGCTAATATAAAATATTCACATTCCCCTAAATATTAAGATCACTCCCTACCTGTCCATTAACTGTTGTGTTTGTTTGTTTATTCCTCTAACATTTAAAGAGGTGTTATTTCATATCAAGCATTATGTTAGGATCTGAGAAGACACAATTGTATGCTCAAGATCTTTGATCTTTAATTCAAAAAATGTGGAAGTTCAAGCAGTGGTGTTTTGTAATTACAAAGTACATTGTTTTATAAAACAAAATATATCCTGTATTATAGAATAATTAAAATCTAATTATTCCATGCCATTGTTATTTGTGTGTGTGTATATATATATGATGGGGCTTCAAAAATTTTGTGGAAAATTCCATTATCTTTTCACTGAAATCATTAGTTGGTTTATATAACATATAAGTTTTATATAAAATATAAGTTTTTATCTGGGACATGTTAAGTATAACATATAACACCTCTGTAAATATTAGAGAAGTAAATAAATTTAAAAAGTAAATAAATTATTAGGGAGTGCTCTCAATAGTACAGTAATAACAATACAAATTTCTAAAAGGAACATTCAAAATACTCTTCAGATACTAAGATAGGAGTTGGGCCATGCTATCAGGAGGAACCAGTCCCGGGCAAAGGCCGTTCTTCTTGATAAAGCAGAGGGTCAGCACAAAGAAAGACCTTGATTCGATGGATCAACATGGTCGTTACAGCAGTGAACTCAAATATAATGGTACTTGTGAGGATGGTACAGCACAGGAAGTGTTTTGTTCTGTTGTGCATAGGGTCACTATGAGATGGAACCACCTTGATAGTACCTTACAACATTACTAATAGGCACAATACAACACACTGTACCACTAATTTTAAAACAGCATAATGCATATCTTCAAAGTACTGAAGCAAAATGAAGTGATATTTTCCAAAGAAATTTGAACTAAATTAAGTACAACGCATTGCTCTTAGACTGGAAAAGTGTGATAAATTCCATGGTAAGTCCTAAAATGACGTTTTAAGTAAATGTCAGGTTTAAAAACAATTCCCATTCCTTTCAGTTATATTTGGAATGAAAGCTCTGAATTAGAACTCAATGACAAATATAAGCACTAAAACAAGACTTTATAAAATCAGTCTAAGGTTCTAAGATTTGTGATATGACTACTTGAAAGTAATCTCCCTTAGATCAGTACCAGCAATATTTTGAAGAACTGCAAAGAAACAGAGCCAAATCCACTCCCATCAAGTCAATTCCGACGCAAAATGACCCTATAGCCGGAATCAAACTGCTCAATTCCCAGGCTGCAATCCTGGCCGAAACGGAAACCCTGCTCTCTCTCCTCTCAACTGGCTGTTAGGTTCTCACTGTGCCTTATGCTTCGAAGCCCCGCATGTCACGCGTTACACCACCAAGTCTGCTGATTTTCAACTAAGTCAATTATTAACGGTCCAAAATGATGAGAAGGATACCTATGGATAATTTTATTGTGCCTCTTTATTTAATAAACAAATATTAAGCAGATACGTTGTGCAAATAATGATGCAAAATCCTGAGGCTATAGCAGTTGCTTTTGCAAAGTTGAGTGTTAAAAGAGAACATAGAGTACACAGATCTGGTCAGCTTTGAGAGTAATTTTCACTACTCTCATCAAATGATATTGGAGTTAAACATTAAAAGGCATAAGCCAAACTGAAAAACAAACTCGCTGCTGACGAGTCAATACAGAATAGGGTAGCAACGGCCCTTGTTAGTTTCTGTGACTGTCTAGGCAAGTAGAAGAAGCGTAACCACTAAGCCCGGCAGAATAGATACAAAGGCAACGTGGAAGGCATTTGATTTATAAGCTTAATAGCAAGACCCGATTGCCTGAAATCTAAAGAGTGGCGAAGAGTGTCCGAAGGCAAAAGTAAATCAGAGGACAAATCACGTAGAACTTAAATGCTTTCCCCCCATGGACCCTTGTCTGGCTTTATTCTTCTTTTTCTTGGCCAGGTAGCTTTGTTTTCTAACAGGAGAAAATTAACTTCTGTTATATGAAAAGTTGGTAAAAAATCCAAGGACCGTAGGCTTCAAGTTTCCTGAAACTTTCTGGTTCACAACCATTTATCTGCATAATTACTAACATTTTCTCCTATATATTCAAAAGTGTTCCACTTTGCAGATTATCCGATTCTTTTAACAACTGTTCCCATAAATATAATTATGATAATAGGAAAGTTTATAAAGCCCATTTAAATCTATTATTCAAAATTTATTTTCTTCTAGTACTTAAAAATATGACGAATATGTTGTATCCGTCCAAATAATACTTTCCAATGAGTTACTCTACATCAGAATGATTCACCATGATTGTGCGTAAGTTTATATCCATGAGTTATAACTATTGACATTTTTGTTGAACTAATTTTTGTTTAATGATTAAGAAAGAATATATTTAATGAATGAATAATTAATAAATGCTCTATGAACCCTTCCACAGGACCATAGTTTATTACGCTATATATGACAAACTTAAAAATATTTTCTTTAAATAAGATAATTTAGTTAAAATTAGTCTCTAGATGAGCATTTATTTTAATGGTTTCTGAGTCAGACAGTCAGTGAAATCTTAGGTGAATGCAATTATTTGCTACTGAGGGAAGATTTAGAATAATTGTGACTATCTGGAGAGCAGAACCTATTGTGTTTATCTTAGAGAATGCGGAGAGCTCTTGAATAGTGTACGGATTAAAACTCCAAATTAAAATGTTGGAGTTTCCAGCACACCCATAAGTGCATTGGAAGAAAGGACAGGCAATCTGCTTCTCAGAAATCACCCATTGAAAATGCTATGCTGTACGGTTCTACTCCCACTTACATGGGGTCACCGTGAACTGGAATTGACCAGTTCATGAAGGTCAGACATGAGGAAAGCAAGCAGGCCCATGTTGACTGTGGCATAGAGCTCCAGGACTTGTACAGCCTCATAAAGAAATGAATGTGTTCATTCTAGTGCCGGGAATCCCTGAGTAGAATAAATGATGGAGTACCAACTCCTGGCAGACAGGGTGAAAGTTCACCTTCTCCCAGAGAAGCCTTAAGTTTCAGGTCTGGCAGTCATCTTCCTTAGATACCCCATGAAGTCATTCTGCTATGCACCCCTGGGCCACCAGGAGTCTGAACCTGCTTCATGGCAATGAACTACAACAGCAATACAATGTTGCTTTATTTTTCCCCCATTGCTCGATGAAATATGGATCATTTTGTTTATTTATTAATATTGCGTGACATAAAAGGAATGCATTTAAATGTCTTAAAGATAATCTTGAACCTTTTTTAGAGATGATATCGTTGTAAAGTGTGACTAAATAATTCTATAATAATGAAGTGATATATATATATATATAACACTTTTTTAACTTTTAGTAGAATTCTAAATTCTACTTCAAGTGATTTGCTAAGAGTACTTTAGGACAAGGAGCATGTGTTACGTGCTACATTACTTGCATTTCCAAAAAGATTCTTCCTAAGTTTTGTACTTGATCTTGAGTTCATTGTAAGCATCTTACTGTGAGTTTCAGGTATTCCTTCAATAATGAAAGTTTGTTATTCAAATGCACATAAATGCATTCAGTCCATAATAACAGTATTCATGGCCGTCTATAAATAGTTGAAGAAACAATTGTATAAAACGCTTGATATTCATCTGAACCACTTTTTGCAATTTTACTTTTAAATTCAGATTTCAGCAATAATACAACAGTGGTAACTCATAAGTTATTCATATATTTTTGTTAGCTTTGCATGAAGAGGATAATGCTACCTTTTTAAAGCTCTGTAAAGTATTTCACCAAACCTGACAAATCCCTTAATATATCCTATTATAAAAGATAGCCTGAACATACATTAAATATTAATTTTATACATGTTTGATGATGTTTCTTAATATTCTTTTTTATTTTTTCCCTAGATACACCATCAGTTAAGATTATACCATCCACTCCTTTTCCACAAGAAGGACAGCCTTTAATTTTGACTTGTGAATCCAAAGGAAAACCACTGTAAGTGATTCAATGAGCAGTAAAGATGTCCTGTTTCCGCTCTCCTGGTTTGATTGCAGGTTGTAACTGCAGAATCCACTGTTTCTTATCTTTTCTTGATGGGCAAAGCAGTCTCGAGAAACAGCCTGAACCACGTCTTCATTAAGTGTCTGTGGAAGATTGGTCTTTGAGTTGGTCATCTAGTGGAGTTCCTGGGAAGGTGTCCAGCTCTGATTTCCTCCTTCTCTCACCTTCCCCCACACAGGCAGCAACATATTTCAACCCGAAAGGCGCTTCAGCTTCATCCCTCACTGTTTACATAGTGCTAACCTTAGTTCTCTCATGACAAATCTGGCTCTATTAGACTCAGGACTACACTCATTGCCAACAAGTCAATTACAACTCACAGTGACCCCTGTGACGTTCAAAGGCTATAAGTCTTTACAGGGACAGAAAGCTTCTACTTTCTCCCTGGAAGTGGCTGGTGAATCTGAACTGCAGACCTTGTAGTTAGCAGCCCAGTGCATAATCAATTAAACCACCAGGCCTCCTTACTAAAGTATTCACAAACTGTGCCTCAGTATTAATGTTACATGGAGAGTCATTTTTATCATAAGGGAAATCAAACCTGCATTTCTTACTTAGAACACACGCAAATGTGATATGTTTGGAAGCAATGTGAGTGCGAAGGGTCATAAGTTTAATTTTTACCATTGTAAGACAATTTTATTGTTATATTTCAGTGATAAAATTTTGGTTTTTTATAATACAAATTTGTAGTTACTACATAGGATACATATAATTCATATAAAGTATGAATTTTTGAAAATGGGATAATATAAAAAGAATATTGAAGAAGCATGGTCACTTAAATATGAAAAAATCAAGTCCTACTGTTAACTACGTTAATTGATTAAAAAAAGAAGCTTCCAATGGATTTGCATTTTTGCTTAAGTTTTAGTAACTGGAATTCATTTCCACCCTACATATAGTTAAATGCAATAGTTTCTTTGGAAATCTGTATAGCATATTAAAAATTTGTTCCCAATAGGATTGAAAATATTTTGATGTAGGATCATATTATCTCAAGGGAAATATTTCTTTCGGAATTCTTAAACCAAGAAGCCTGAAATTTAACATTTTCAATAACATATGGAGTGATTCACACCTATTTTAGAACAGTTTTGATTCTATAAAACTATTCTTCTTTCTATTATTTTATGTACACATACATACTAATTTAAAGGATATTTTATAAATTAATCCTTATTTTATTTTTCTATTTCTCTTAAAACCATTTACCATGTATACTGGAGTATAAGCAGAATTTTTCAGCACAGTTTTTATGCAGTTTTTGTGGTAAAAATAGGTGCCGTGAGCCTATTTTATATAGGGCCAGTGGTGTGTGGCAAAACAGGGAGGGTAAAGGGAGAATGGGTAGGAAAGAGGGAACCAATTACATGGAACTGTGTGTGACCTCCTCCCTGGGGGACAGACAACCGAAAAGTGGGTGAAGGGAGATGTCGGACAGGGCAAGATATGACAAAATACCAATTTATAAACTATCAAGGGTTCATGAGGGAGGGGGGAGCGGGGAGGGAGGGGAAAAATAAGGACCTAATGTCTGGGGTTTAAATGGAGAGAAAATGTTTTGAGAAACGGTGTACAAATGTGCTTTACACAAAGTACAAATGTGCTTTACACAGTCGTATGATCCCCTAATAAAATGTTAAAAAAAAAATAGGTGCCACAGCTGATATTTGGGTCGGCTTATACTCAGCTTAAATATATATGGTAAATATATTTAAATTTTAAAAAGAAATACAAATATAGGCATTTCAAAGAATGACTATCTATAATATGTGAGGGTTAAAATCCATGAAATTTCATTATATATATAGCAATATGTATTGTTTTTGCTGTGTGTTGTTGTTAGGTGCCCCTGAGTTGGGTCCAACTCACTGCCTCCTTAGGTACAAAACTAAACAACAACAACAAACATGCCCAGACCTGTACCATCCTCACAACTGTTGTTCTACCTGAGCACGTTATGGCAGCCTGTGTGGCAATCCAGCTCGGTGAGGGTCATCTTTTCTTACCTACTTTCTACTTTCTTAAGCAGGATGACCTTATCCAGGGCGCATCTCTCTTGATAACATGGCCAAAGTATGTCAGATGAAGTTTCCCCATCCTTGCCTTTAAGGAGTGTCCCAGTTATATTTCTTCCAAACAGGTTTGCTTGTTCTTTTGGCAGTCTGTGGCAGTATTTTCAATATTCTTCACCATTACTATAATTCAAGTGCATTGATGTTTCTCTCCTCTCCCTTATTCATTGTCCAACTTTCACATGTCTATGAGGCGATTGAAAACACCATCGCTTGAGTCAGCTGTGCCTTAGTCCTCAAAGGACATTCTTGCTCTTCAACACTTTACAGAAATCTTGTGCAGCAGATTTGACCAATGTAAGACATCATGTGATTTCTGGAATACTGGCTCCACAAGGAGCCTTGGGTCACAGCGGTTATGCCTTGGGCGGTGATCCGCAAGGCCAGCCCTTTGAAATCACCAGCTGCTCCACAGTAAGATGGGGCTTTCTATTTCCGTAAACATCTACAGCGCCATCAGCCCACAGGGACAGTCTGCCCTGTCCTGCAGGGCCACTATGACCCAGCATCAACTTGATGGCAGTCAGTTTATTGATTTGGTTGGTTGGTTTCATGAGCATTGATTGTGGATCCAAACAAACTGAAATATTTTTTTCTGCTTATCTTTTCTCTGGTTATCATAATAATATCTTTGATCCAGTGGAATGGATCTTGATTTTATTATATTGCACTATGATCCATATTTTACACTATAATCATTTATCTTCAAGCCCTCCTTACTTTCACCAAGTAAGATTGTGTTACCTTCATATATCAGGTGGTTAAAAAACCTTCATTTAATGTTGATGCCACATTTTTCTGCATATAGTCTAGGTGCTTGGATTTTATGCTCCTTGAAATGAGTATGGTGAAAATATGTAACGTTGATAAACACCTGTCCTAATTTTAAACTATGCTTGATTCCAGTATTCTATCCAAATGATTGATTCTTGGTGCAAGAACTGGTTTTGCACTCACACAATGAAGTTTTCTGGAATTTTCATTCTTCTCAGTGTTTTATTATTTTTTAATTTAAAAAAATTTTTATGATAATTTTATTGGGGCCTCTTACAACTCTTGTTACAATCCATACATCAATTATCTCAAATATATTTGTGCATATATAGGCATTGTTCGTTTCTAGACATTGACTTTGGTTATTTTTAATCATTTTATTGGGGGCTCATACAACTCTTATCACAATCTATACATACATCAACTGTGTAAAGCACATTTGACATTCATTACCCTCATCATTCTCAAAACATTTGCTCTCCACGTAAGCACCTGGCATCAGCTTCCCATTTTCCCCCTCCCTCCCCACTCCTCCTCTCTCATGAACCCTTGATAATTTATGAATTATTATTTTGTCATGTCTTACCATGTCTGACTTCTCCCTTCACCCACTTTTCTGTTGTCCGTCCCCCAGGGAGGTTATATGTAGATCCCTGTAATCAGTTCCCCCTTTCCACCCCACCTTCTCTCCACCCTCCTGGTATCACCGTCTCACCACTGGTCCTGAAGGGATCATCAGTGTTATCCATAGTTAATTGTAATCCACATCATCATATGCCTTCACATAGTCAATAAAACACAAGAAAACCTTCTTCTGATAATCTCAGATCCATCTGACATCAGGAATGATTTTCATCATGCTGTTTCCTCTTCTAAATTCAGCTTGAATTTCTTGCAGCTCCCTTTACATGTATGGCTACAACTCTTTTTGAATTATCTTCAGAAAACATTTACTTGCATGTGATATTAATGATACAGTTTGTTGATTTCTTCTCTCTATTGATCACCTTTCCTTGGAATGGACTCAAATACGGATCCCTTCCAATCAGTTAGCTATTTTCATAGGCAAATGAGTATGTTCAGTTCTTCTTCCGCTTTTTAAAACCATTTAAATAATATTCTGTGAACTCCTGGAACTTTGATTTTATTTTTTTCTACAATCTTCAATGTAGCTTGGACTGTTTTCCTTCAGAATAATTAGTTCTTGATCAAATGCCATCTCTTGAAATGGTTCAATGGTGACCTGTTTTGGGGGAGTACTCACTCTGTGTATTATTTCCATCTTCATTTTATGCTTCCTGTGCCATTCAATAGCTGACCCCAAAGCCTCAACTATAAGCAATCGATGGTGCATTCTTCCTAGGTAATTTTATGCATCAATAAAAACAATGATAGCACTCTTAAACACCACAAGACAAAATGAAAGAACACTATTCTCAGCAAACTCAGTCAATCTTACAAAGTTAAACATTTAATATCACCACTGTATAAGGAAAAACAAAGAAGAAAAAATGTGGCTTATAAACCAATCGATAAGACTTTGATGACTACAAAGAGGCCAGGGATGGGGGTGGGACAAAAAAATGTAGCGGCACAAAAACATAAATAAATAGATAGATAGATAGATAGATAGATAAAATTTAAAACTACAAATTGCTTCATGGTGAACAACAGCTACCCCTCAGATCTGAATATTGGATTGAGTGAGTAGAAAGGAGGAGAAATAAAGCTAAAGTGGTCTTGGAGTCTTTAATGACATACAAGTTCAAAATGATTGATTAAAAAATAATAAATGTATTTTTTTAAATAAATAAATAAATGAAATGTAAGGGTGTGTGTGTGTGGAATTTGACCCTTAGAATCCTTCACTATTGCAACTTAAGGCTTGATTTCTTTGTTTCACTTCTTTTAGTTTGGGATATGCTGAGTGTGTTCTTCCCTTTTGAGTTTTCAACTCAAGTCTTGGCACATTTCATTTAACTCTTTAATTTTTCTTCTTGAGCTCCCCTTTGAACGATTCTCGTGGGCTCTTTTACTTCATGATTTCTTCCATTCGTTTTAGCTTCTCTGCATTGAGGTTCA